CCGGTCCCAGCCGCCCCACCGCAGGGCACAGCTGAGCCCCTCAGCGAGGCTGGCGGCCTCAGGGAAAGCGTCTTTGAGGAAGGGCAAAACGCTGGCGGGCAGCGAGGGGAGAAGTGCGAGGAACAGCCCCGCGACACCCAGAGCCGGGCAGGAGGAGGGAGGCGGCACCCCAGGCCCTGAGCAGGGACTCCCCTGCGGCCATGGAGGGACCAGGGAGCATTTCCCTGCAGCATATGGAGGCTTGGACAGAGACCCCCATGGTTCTTAGTGATACCAGGTGAGAGCATTTCATTCTTGCAAATACACACAGTTGCCAGAGGAGCTCCCTTTTTAGTGTGTTTTCCTGTTATGCAGTGGACCATGTTAAGTGCTAGGTAGGGAGGGAAATATTCCTAAATAGCATCTGCTCTCTGTCCCAGCCTAGGGACAATGGGGTAGTTATATACAGGCAAGATCACTATGGACCTGAGATCACCCTATATGTATTCTCCCAATTCCCCTCAGCCTTTCCTACATCTTCATGTCTGTTCCTCACTTGTTCCTCTTCGTTGAGAAGCCCTACACTGCACTCCTCCTGACACTGCCGGCAGCGCAGGCAGGACCTGGGTGCCATGAAGAAGCCTGGCTCTGAGCCCTGCTCTGCAGTGGGAGGCTGCCAGGGTTTGCTGCTCCAGACAAGGATCTCCTCAGGATGGTGAAGCGCTGCCTGAAATGGGCTTTTGGCATTCAGTGCTGAGCTCTCTCACACCTTCATCTCTTTAGAAATGGGTACACCCTGGAGTGCTGTCACTGGCAGAATGACAAACCCCCAAATCCTTGCTGTCACTGTTGATTTCCCTCCCTATGAAGACCAAGCCCCTTTCTCAGACCATTTCCATAAGGCTTTGTTCCCTAGCCTGTGTTTGAACAGCAGTATTCCTGTCTGCTTGTGGAATAGAAAATGGGAGCAAAAGCAGGCAGAGTCACTCACTTGGGATTTAATCCAACATCGCAGCCATGAGGCTGCAGTATTTTGGTGATTCTTCAGAGAAAATGTTTTTTAAATGATACTTACACTTTTTCTGCAGATGAGAGCCACCTGTCTTAGACTGAAGACATGCTATACTAAATTTAACAGAATGTTAAATTTCTCAGATGTGTTTTTTTCACAAAGATAACAGTTTTCACAGAGCTGCTGTTTTCTAAAGGCCTGCTGTAGCTGTTCGGTGTTTGTCATGAGAGACAGAATTGAGAGGTCACCCTCAGAAACATGCAGAAGATTAGGTTTGTAACAAATCAGAACAAATAAATTAAGCACTGTCACAACTCTAAAGGAGTTATTAATCGGCAAGTTTAACCGTCTAGGTGTTTTGAAAGTACTGCAAGTACTTTACCTTCTGCCACATCACTTTAGAAGGCAGTTTATCAGCCAAAACCATGTGTTAATAGGGCCCAGAAGAATGAAGTTACTAAGGCTGTGATAGGGAGCTTAAACCTCAGATTTTTTAGAGAAGTGGGTGGAGGAAACAGTGAAAACCACTTAAAAGCGAACATTTGCTCAAATTGCTACAAAAATATAGTGATTGCCACTAACACCTGCTGTTCAGTTTATGGACTCAGTTTGCTCAACTACAAGACATCACCCCAAAGGCAGGCTGCTTAGGAGTTTGTTAGTTTAAATCTGTTTTTTGTGTCTCCACACAAGTATTGTATCACTTGTATTTTTCCTCCAGTACTAAAAAAAAAAAAATCCATGAGTCATTTCAACACCCAGAAATGGTATAAATTCAGCACAGGAAATAATGCTCTCCATAGCTCCTGCACATTTATTAGGTGTCCTTCTTTTCATTAGTTTGAATAACTTGCCAAATAATAATAATAAAAATGCTCTGTTTTCTCTTTTTAACTTGTAAAGAAATGCAACTCTGGGAAAGTACAGTCTCTCTTTCTCCTTCCCCCACCAGTAATACAGAGCCTCCTAGTCTTTTGGAGGAGATATTTGAACGGTTGACACAGACCACTACACATAAAGCAGCAAATTTGCTGTGCATGATGTGAATAATTACTGCATTATAGTTTTGGGTTTTAGGGCAACTGTTGACTTAAGCAAAATAAGCCTGCAGTCCAGCTGCAGATCCAAGTTTTCATAAGTTTTCTTGTGTTTCTCCCTCCAGTGCTGTCTCCCTTAACAGTGACCCTTTTCAGACTTTTCAAGGTACAAAACCTTTACCAAATCCTCGAGCTCAGTCCTGCACACTCTGCTTTCACACATTTGGCTGATCTGAGCTTCTCCCTCGCTAAATATTTTCCACTGGCCTGAAAACAAAAATACAAAGGAGACAGATACTGACTTAGAAAAGGGCACAGGGAACTTCAAAGTCATTTACAAGCACTCTCCAGACCAACTGATTCACCACGGTCAAAGAGAGAGTGTCCAATCCTCCCATGGAAAATATTCAAAGTATCTTACCATCACGTAACATATTCCATGCAAAATAACTTTGTTGAAAATAATAAACAAGGACCAGAATATTATCCCTTTAATTAAGTTGTACTGTAAGTTGACCCTATTTATTCAACCAGTTATGACGTTGGATACTCTGCTTTATGACAGTGATGTGATAATTTAACTCTGAGAGTAAACCACAGTATTTAAAAGTTGGGAAGCAACAAGTCTAGTGTTTCATGCACTGTGAACTCTGCCTATCTGTGTGTAATGTAAACTGTGTTTGCTGGACTTTAGTATTTCTATACATTTTTAATAATGTTACTAGAAATGCCTGTCCTGGTAACTAGAATACTGTATTACAAATAACAATGACAAGCTTATGGTAGGCTGACAGCAAAAAATGAGGAAACGAAAAGTGTCTGCTTCTCCCTGGTATTATCAAGAAGATATTATTCTTGGGAAAAACACTTTCTTGCCTAATTAGAGACCTCAGAAAAAATGACGACTTGTAATGCAAAAGAACTGGAAACTAAAAATGACTATTCCTTAATTCAACTATCAAATTAAGTGTCATATCCTAAGCTGGATGGAATACAAAAAAGAAACTGCATCAAGAGTGATAAAAGAATTACATGTCCTTTCAAAAGACAGATTTTAATGAGGATATTGTTAAGAACATAGGAAAAGCTTCTTTCAAATCTAATATATATGTATGTAGGAGAATTCCTTTAATCATCTCTGAATTTTTTGCTTTCTAATGACTTTCTAAAAAATTGGGGTAACTTGACATGTTACTTAAATAAATCAAAATTGTGCTGCTGTGCTGACATCAGTCATATTTCAGACTTAGGACAGTATGGGCAGAAAACAGCCTATCGTGTATTTCATCAAAATACAGGATACTAAGTATGGACATGAACTACTGTTATAGGTATCTCTATTTTAAATTGCTGTATTGTCATTATTTAAATCTAAACTTGTAAAATATTGGAGCCATGTACTGGAGAAAAAAATTAGTACATCTGTTTGACCGTGCTGAGTAAAAGAGAATGTTTTTCAAGGCTATGATTATATGGAGAATAGAAACTTGAAGAGGTCAGAATTTTACTTACTAGGTGTTGTCCTTGTTATCTGCTTGAAGTAAGGAAGTTCTTCAAATTCTCTCTTGGACACTTTTTCAACATAGAAGTGACGTAGAATACCTTCAGCAAAGAAATGAGAAGTGCTTGTTACTGGAAATGTGCCTGTTGTTCTAAACCTGGGTTGCTGTCCTGCCTTTATGTAGAATTACTGTCATGTCAAGTCACCTTGTGAAATAATCCTTACCAGTTACATGGATTTTCAGCTTATTTTTTTTAATTCTGTTTGCCACCCCCTTGGTTTTTTGCCTCTCCCCTGAAAATCTTTCTGTGGATTTATGATTGCAGAGAGTTTGTGAGGGGTGTGAGAATTAGGCAATCCTTTTCCAACATAGCTGAACCCTTCCTTAGTATGAGTAAATGTAAGATAACAACAGAAGCCAAAGTCACAGTGTCTTGGAGAAAACCAGTATTATTTTGCAGTCAGATACCCTTTTTTGCCTGTCATGAGCGAGCAGGCAACATCACTGTCACATCATCACATGGCTTCTTGAACACACACGGTAGTTATTAACCATCCAATCCACTGTGACCTAGTTTCTGCTCACACTTTGGGCTTGGCTTTGTGCTTTAACGTGCATTCTAGAGTGGTATTGTTTCCATGTAAAGGGCTGCACCGTATGAGGGTTTCCTGTGAGGATCGCATACTTTTTGCTTAAAGTAGATTAATTAGATAGGATTTTTAGGAGACTGGAGATCATTTTTATTATACTAAAAGTTTAGGATTTGCAGACGTGCTTGGGCTCCTGAATGCTTTTCTGTTTTTTTTCTAATTTTACCAGTTAGTCTAGTAAAAGACATTGTTTCCATCCTTAACACATTTTTTGACCATAATCTAGACCATCATGGGTGTAGCATCACTAAGGGAGATAGGGCAGACTAATTTCAATGGAAAGCTTTTTGGTCCATTCTAAAGAAGAACCTCCAAGCACTTGGTTCAAACGCTACTACCCATCTCTCTGCAATAAATTACACAGGGTATTACTGACAATCTGTTTGTCATTGTGCTTTTGCTCACCATGAAGAGTAGGAGTTTGCAGAACTAGAGCTTTGTGTGTTATTAATGTTTTTTGTACAGCAAAACTTGAGTATGTTGGAAGTGGCTGTAATAGCGATATCCTAAATAGCCTCGAGATGCTTGGATTTGTAAATTGTCCTGGTATTTTAATGGAAGATGATACACTGTTTAAAGAAGGAATTTGCTCAACTCACCTTTTCTAATTGTCCACACATGTATTTCTATTTGAGGTGGCTTTTCAGTCTCTACTGCAATTTTTCTGATGGTTTCTCCTTCCTCTGTGAGAACGGATTCATAGACGGGAAATGTCTCTTTCCCACAGAAGTAATCTTTGTTGTCAAAGGTTTGACTTGGCACTTCTTCTGTTTAAGAAAAGCCCAAAACACATACTGCAGCTGTAATCAAGTCCTCCAGAACTTGCTTGGCACCGACAGCCAAGCAGGTTTAGTTTACAAGTAGAAGTTTTCACTTGTACGGCCACTCAAAGCCATCCCCAGCTAAGCTCCAGACTTTAATAGTGTTATATTCTGCTAGGTTCTGGTGGCCTGTCTATGGTGGCAAGACAGTATTTGTATTTATAATCCAATTCCATAAGGAAATGAGCTGGGTAAAACCATGTGGTCTGTGAGACTCCACAATTTTTGAACCTGCTGTCCACTTTTCAAGCATATTTGAAATAATGGTAGAAGTCTCAGAGGCAATAAAATAACTAAATTAAAATTCGTGGTTGGACAGAGTGAAGAGACCCAAATGAATGCTTTGCTGAGGAAAAGGGCAGGCAGAATCTTTTTTGTATTTTGTTTGGCAGCAGCCAGCTGGTCAGTGTAAGCCTGGGCTAGCCACAGTGCACATCATCTCTTGCCCACCTGCTAAAGTCATAGAGCATTTAAGTAGAAATTGTAATTATTCTGTTGGTAGTTTGAAGTTGGACAAGAATGTAAGAGAGATGATGCAACTCAGAAACTCAGACTGCCATTTGTGGAAAACCCTAATAATTAATACATCTCCACACATACAGGACAGACTGCGGGGAGATGTTCAGCTTGTTTAAAAACTGGCACATAGAATCTTGAAGAAGAAGACAGTAACTTTCTTCTTGCTGTTAAATTTTCTGTTGAAGCCTTTTAGCCAGGTTTTGCTGACTGTTGTCCTCTCAAGTGAGCCCAGTAAAAGCTGTGGACCTCTGATTCACGAGTATCCAAAAGGATCTAGATACATACTCCTACCTGCCTACTGCCACTGTGTCGTGCTTTTGCCCAGTAAGCGCAGCTAACAAGAGAAAGTGGGAAGTGTGCATTCTATGAAGAATTTCTATATGCAACTGAACAACTCATTTCCTCAGCATTTCTGCCCAATGCATCACCAAACAAACACAGAAATGGGCCATATAGATTAGAAAATAAGTTTAAAGGCACAGAAGGGAACTGGTCACTCTACCCTTTATATCATATGCAACATGGCTAGTCATTTGGCAGACAATCAGCAGATTCATATTGGCAGATTTTTCACTAGCTGTAGGCATTGATTTCAGTAAGTAATGTCTACATAAGTTTAATCATTAGTGCAACATAGAAACAATGCTAAATTTGTGAGAAGTTAGTATTTATTTTAAGGATTAAGTTACATAACTGACACCAGTCAGTTTATAATGAGGGGTTTTGAATCCTTCTGGTACATTTTGAAAAGCAGAAATGATATTGTCTCCATGCAAATTTCACAAGCTAGAGAATGATTTGAAGGTTCTGTGGGCACTGCAGTGAGGGAAGGATGGGAGAGTCTTTTGACAGTAGTGAACTTTCTGTGTATGTTTCTGTAATACTCTCTTTGGAAATGAGCATCAGGAAGTCATGCTAACAGTAGAGAGAAAGGCAGTGACTGATCAGAACATATGTGTCCCAGGCAGCAAGCCCCTCTGTTTGAGGAACAGCAGCGAAGAGCAGGGCTGCCCAGACAGCTCTGCCTGTCTCACACTGAGATCTCTGCACACACATTAGAACAATGTGCACAACTATTGCTGTTTTCATCAGATCTTATTGGGACCAGAAGGCTTGAGCCAAGCCCCTAAAACATGCACAGCAAAAAGGTGGTCTGCAATCAAGTTTGTTTTACCTGGACAGACTTTACAGCATTTTCCTTCTACTTTCTGAGGGTATTTGCAGGGATATTGCTCTGGACAATGAATTTTCTTACATTCTTGTTTGGTGATGTTGCAGGTGCACAACACACACTCTACGATTCCAAAGGCCCGGAGATTAGGATGCCACGATTCACCATGCGAGTATGTTTTGCCATTTGAAACACAAACTATGAAAGAAGACAAAAGGAAGAAAAGGTACAACTGGAAATGGTATGTTCACTGGCTACCTCTTTATGAATATTCATTTGATTCATGCACATTTGCTTAAAGCAGTTTCTCTATACTGTACTTTGTTAGTGTCTCTGGCCCATTTTTCTGCTTGTTAACTTTAACTTGGAATTTTGCTACTTAAAATGAGTCTGAGCCTATGAGCACCCTTTTCTGAGCAGTTTTGCCTTGATTCCAACTCTGCTGACACTGGTGTCCATCACTGTTTTGAGGAGAACAGTGAAGGTGGCCGAGTCGAGTATTTGACTAGCTCCTCTCCAGTGCACACATTTCAGTAGAGCATTGTTAACCAGCTTATAATTCACTCCTTCTTCCCCTCCTAATCTCAGTCCCTACGGAGGACACAGCCTGTTACATTGGCTCTGGCTTCTGGAATTGAATCTGCAGATGACAGGATCATGACATTTGCTACTGTGTCATCTGCACAATTTTTCTTACCATTAGCTGAACACGGCTTTTGCGGTGAGAGCCATGCTATCAGCAGGATGGATTAGTGCCACTTGGGCCTTTATTGCTTTTGCACGAGAGTTCCTGCTACACAACACACAGAACAAAGCAAGGGAATGTTGCAAAATGCAGTTTAATGTCCTTTGGGGAAATATATATGTCTATAGGTATATAGAGATATTTATCTTTTGGAATCACAAGAAAACATTAGCAAGAAAGGATGCACACGGGACTGAAATTTCATTCCAATAGCATCTAAGCACATCAGAATATTTATTTTCATCAGTGCCCTCGGGAGACAAATACAGCTGACACAAGGAGAGTGGAAAAATCCATGCCTGGTAGAAGCCAGTTTGGGTCACCCAGCAGTTAATGGAAATTATATCACTTTACACCATGTTTGCATTTGTCCTATAAACCTTACTGCTTTCTTTTTAAATATTTTATAAACACAAAGAAAAATGCAAACTAATCCTAACAAGGTGAAAGAAAGGGCACTGCCTGATTTCTAAAAGCAACTAAAGTAAAGCTGGGATATGTTGTAAATATTTCCAATTCTTCTAATATGCCATCATTATTATTAATGCTTTTATTTGTAAAATATGTTCCTATTTTGCCTGTAACTTTCAAAAGCAATTTAATTTTTTTCTGTAATCTGAAATTTACATCTAACTGGTAACAGATGTGACCAACTGGCTTATACTTTACTGAGTTACTGAGATTTATGGGGAGTGTTCTTTGCAATGTATTGTCTTTCATGGGGTAATGCTATCATTTGGTTTATAATTTGCTGCTTTTTAACTCTTTCTTAAGACATGTTTTTATTTTAGAGGTAAGAAACAATTTTGTTTCTCAAATAAAAGCAAATAAAGTGTTACCTGTATACTAAGAAAGTGAGACAAAAAACTATAAATAAGAAAACTGGTAAGTACTCAGCTGCTTGGCAAGCTTCTTACATGCTTAAATACTTATTAGTCATATTTATGCTTATATGGATTTTTTTTTTTCCCAGCTAGAGTTGTCCAGTTCCTTAGCACAGAACAGTTAAATAATTACTCTGAGGTAGCAGATGAAGCCTCCAGTAGAAGCCAAAATATGGCAAATAATTTCTAGTTCCCCAATGCCCTGTTTTTGGTGCTCTTCATGTTTAGAATGATAAATCTGCATCCCTGCAACTGCACAGTATTTGCATGTCAGAGAATTGTTGTTTATTTTTTAACTTGTTGAAATGTGTCTCAAGGGGCATGTGCATTAATTAATAAAACATGTGTTAATTGCACAAGAACAAAAGAAAATACATGGTCAGCATTCCTGTTTCCATCATGGGGATCTCTCAGACGCTCTCCAGGCAGTGAGCGTCTGAAGTTGTGGCAGTTACTATACCCTGCATCCAGAAATAGGCTATTCGTCTGTATGCTCTTTATTTGCTGAAACAAATGAGTTAGAAATTGCTTTGATGATGTCTTCATGTGTGAATTACATGTCAAAGATAGTGCACTGCATGGAGATTCCTACTCCTAGATTCAGCATAAAACACTGGCATGATCTGAATGTTTTTTCATGCTTGTTCAGGTGGATAATAAAGATCCTATGGCCAACATTCCTTCTGTTAGTTAATACCTTAAAAGATTAGTTGGCCCTAATACAAGGGCTTTTAACTCTTTGTGGGTAGTTTCTAAGTGCATACTGACTGGCATTTGTGGACAGATGCTGTTCTGAATATGCATTTTTACAGCTATTTCTTTTATGGCTTCTTAGGCCTGTTCCTGCAGACCTCTGATCCGAGGTACAGCCACCGTGGGAAATTAGCATCCCACCCTTTTTATTGTACAAAACCTGCTGTCCCCCTAACTGGAGAATTGATCTTTTCCTCCTATTTTTGTCCTTCCTGTAATGCAGCAGG